GATTGGGGGAGGGGGTTGTCACTTTGAGGGGTAAAAAGTATATTGCACTGTGTTGTACAGCTGAAACTAATTTTTAAAAATGTTTATTTCACAATAAAGAAAAAACAGTAACCATCTACAAGGCACTATTTTACTCTGTTATATTTATATATTTTATGATGTCTAGTCTAAAATCTCAAAATTAAATATTAATTTACTACAGTTTTTATCTGTCCCTTCTGTTTTCATGATATCTAATAATTAGATACAAAGAAACCTCTATTTACTAATTTTCAAGAAGAGCAAAAAATCATTCCACTGCCTGCTAACTGCCCGACTATTGCAGTTATGGATGTTGCCGAGAACATTAGAGCAAAAATTTATGCTGTGTTGGGCAAACTAGGTAAGAAGCTATTCGTCAGATTCACAAGCGTGTCTCTGTTTTGCTAAGTATGTGAGTTGATTTTACCTTGGACTCCACTTTTCAAACATGATGAACAAATGTCCGTCTATATAGATAAATGCAGGTTCCATTGTTAACCCAATGCGCAGGCCACACCCCTGATCAATTAAATCAGGGTGTGGGGGGCCCAGGCATCACTATTTTTTGTCTCCCCTGGCAATTCCAGTGGGCAGCCGGGATTAAAGGAAGTTAGTTTAGATGACTGCGCTTAAACACTAGAATTCTGAATTGCCTGCGTTGGTTTAAGTCCTTGCTTCTTATTAAGGAAAAGTCCTCACTCTTCAGGTTCTCAAAGTACAATATTATGGTCTCACCACAGTACAGAAAGTATTCCTCTTTAATGACTAGATAAGGGATGACCTGGCAAAGGTTTGTTATTAGGAAGAAGTCAGAAGGCAGAAGTAACTTTTTCATAAATCAAAATGAAATAAAAAAGAACTGTTTGCATTTGTTTTTATGATAGATGTCTGCATTTTGGAGTCACTTGTCCTGTTGAAGTAATTCTCTCTTTGTAAACTTTGTTCAGATTTTGAAAATTTGCCTGGCCTATCTACTGAAGATTTTGTCACCCTCTGTATCATACATAGATACCTTGATTTTAAAGTGAGTACCTTCTTAACCTTGTTATTAAAATCTAATATGGCAAAAAGTCAATTGGGAAATAAAAGATTTATTCATAGCTGTGAGCAATCGCTCACAGACTGTGTAGTTTTTACTTTCCATTTTGCATCTGATACTATTCAAAAAACATGCAATTGATTGTGTGTTTTCCATGGGATGAGATTTCATCCAACTATTAATTTATAAAAGAAGATGGTTATTACTGACACAGAGCTATTAAGAAGCCTAACATAATGTGTAAAATATAATTTCTTTTCTTAATAGAGCATTATTGCTCTTATAGGAATTATTGCTTATTAAAATAGATTATTAAAATAGATTAATAGATATTAAAGTATTATTTTATCATTACTTTATATAACAATCAAATGTCAATTAAAAGATATTAGGCTGCTTACCTTGCTGGTTATACTGTTAAATAAATGCTTTTGAAGTTTTANTTGTTCTAATTACAATGAGTTGCCAGTTCACCTTGGGCCAGCGGCCTCTCACCCCGAGCCAGCTAGCTGCCCATTCAATCCCTTGTGGCCCACAGGAGTAGATCATATGCATCAGCTTATTAGTGAGCTTTGCCCTCTCCTGAGTCCCTTTCTCAATTACCACCACCCACAACAAGATCTGAGAAGGCATAATTTGTTCCTCTTCTTCACAGGAAGCCCTGAGCACAAAGATTCCATTAAAGGGAAGTTACTGAGACACTAGAACGGATGTGGGTAGAAACATGCAATATGAGAGGCCCAAACAGAAAGCACCAGATACACTTCAGGTGCATCTCAGATACAGAATCAAGATGAAGTGTCCAAGTCTAACCACGATGAGTCGTTGCCCCATTTTCTAGACTATCAGTTCCTTCCTCAGCCTCTAAGCTCCCTGAGGACAAGGTAAAAAAACATATTTCATTCATTATTGTAACCAATTCCTCAGTAAATTAATTATTGAATAAGTGATGGTGGCCTCAGCTCCTGGCAGACTTTCCCTTGAGCTCTGCAGAGGCAGACTTTTCCTGAGCTCAAAGGAAAGATTCAGCCAACACACTAATATACAGGTAATGCTAAACCCAGATATGTTCAAATAGTTCAAATGTAATTACCGCATAACAGTGATAGACCTCCTCTAAAATGATGAGGCATAAATATTATTACATTATTAAAGCATATGTAGAAATAGAATCGATATCAGGTGGTCGAATATCATTTTTTGTTTGTAATACAACTTGATAGCTCCAGATTGATTAGGCCTGACTTCAATCAAAATAGCCTTGTGATGTCTGTGGACCTGTCTCCTGCCAGGTAGATCTTACCCATCGGGAAGAAGAAAGTAAAATAGGGCAGGCTATTATTACCTGGCAGCCATCTAACAACTGAAGAAATGTCAGTGGGCAGAGGGTAGTAATGTTGCTTAATCTAGACCCTTGGACTTGGGTAGACAGACTGCACCCACGTTTGCATATTACAGCTCCAGCCACCCCGCAGGGAGTGAGTGAGCCGGTCTGTCTGTCTGGCTGTGTCATTAACTCTAATCATCCCCTGTCTCCTCACATCCTGTGCTTCCCCACACACGCCACCCCTGAGCCCTAGGGGATATGATGCCAAGTCTATCCAACCTGACTGAAAGGTGGACAGTGTATTTCCTTACATGAGTCAGTTGAGACAAAGTTTCAAGCTCTCACACTGAAACTTTTGCTAATAAGCTCAATGAAAAGAAAGTCAAAAGGATAAAAATGATGGAGTTTAGTGAGCACAGATGAAAGTGGCTTCAGCACTCTTGAGTGATGACATCTTTACCACANGAATGATTGTTGGTATCTTTATATTTTATATTTTTATCACAACAGTTTTGCATTACATTTTATGGAAAGCAGTTCAAACCTCAGACACATAATGAAGGTTTTCTTTTCCATATTAATACTTGTGCTTTTTAAGTTTTTGAACTTTGTGATTACTCTAATCCTTCTCCTAGTCAGCCTTAAATTTAACCTTGGCAAAAACTAGGTCTTCCTTCAAAGTAAGAGCTTTCAAGCCCTTTGGTATCCTTTCATTTCAAGCCCGTTGGTATCCTTTCATAGAAACTGGAACTCTTAATTATCTTTCTCATTTCAGATACAAGCCTCCCACAAGCAAAGAGAGTTGGCTAATAAGTCATGGGAAAATTTCTTGGCTAGAACATCAAATGCCAGAACTTTAAAGGTAAGATTTTTGGAATATTAAGATATCCACAACAAATAGCCAATTTTGACAGACTTTTCAGAAATAAATATTCATTCATCTTTTTCTGTTGACCTTTCTGTAGAATACTAGTTCTATTCGATCTTTATATGCAATTTAGAATGATAATTGAAACTATGAATTTTCACAGTTACTGAAGATGCTGCTCTGAGTTTCATTTGGTTTATTAGTGGGAAGCAAAGGTGGTCTTTCTGGTTTTTAGAAAAGAGATGATAGTTAGCCAGCCTTCTCATTCATTGATCTGTTCTGTAAGAAACAGAGTGAAGGACAGAAAAAACAATTGTCCATATTATTCCCTCCCCCAAAGATGTTTCACCTCCAGGAACACCAAAAGAAACATTATATTAAAGTTTAAATATGAATTTGAGATAAACACCCCTTTGGAAAATGTGATAAGCTGCTTCAGCTAGAAGCTAGAAACTAAAAAGTTTATAATGCTAATTGTTCGCTTCAAATATGTGAGAAGTACCATGGATTTCCAAAATCTCATTACTTTTTTCCAACTTTTCCATTAATACTTTGAATACTATTTTGAATCCTATTATGGTTCATTATAATTCTTCCTCTAGCTATGAAATTGTTAAATGTTAGTCCATGAAAATAGTAGAACTTATTAAGATAGCAAAACCAAAGCTAAGAACACACTTGTTCAAAGTACCATATCTTTCCCTTTTCATTGAAAGTTCTTCCCAACTTTATTTATAAAATATTCTCATAACTACCTGTACTTTTAAGGAATAGTTAATGAAAATCAGCCCCTTCCATGCAGATCATTGATTACCTTGAATTTCACCTGTTCTGGTACCTCAGCTGTTAAGCTTGAATATAACTGCAACAAAATATGTCATTTATATTATTCTGAGTGCTTGAAACATTTAAGTGTACTGAATTAGTATTTAATGTATGCAAAATATTTTGAAAACATGCGTCACCGATGTAAATTCAGTAGCTTATTCAATTAAGTATTAAAAATTGAACCTGATTTCCTTGGGACCTGCTTTATTCCTTGGTCATATATAACCAGTACCTCTAGAAACCTCAGTGATGTTTTCAGGTGACTGGTATCTTCTGCAATGTACAAAAGATATAACCTGCTAGTAGTAACTATCTTTGTAGCCTAAACGAGTAAATGAAGATTCCAGTGCTAACTAATAAATAGTCNGATAACCTTTTGCCATCTTTCAGTGAGCTTCATAATCCCTCGTTTATAGAAGGACCTGTCTTTATTTGTGAAAAACTGAACAAGGTGCTGATTTACAGCCTCCTCTAAATTGAACATTATACCACGCAAGGAGTTTTGAAGAGAGAGAAACAAGTGGAAGTCTGATGGCACAAGGTCAGGTGAGTATGGTGGGTGTGGCAACACATTCCATCAAAACTACAATAATTTTTGACGGGCCATCAAACTTGTGTGTGGTCTCCTGTTTTCACGATGGAACACAACTCCTTTACAATTAACAAACTCTGGACATTTCTGAATGTTGGATTCGTCCAAACTGTCCAATTGCCAACAGTACACATTCGAATTGATTGTTTGGTTCCTTGGTAGGAGCTCGAAAAACACGACACCTTTAAAATTCCACCACAATGAGAGCATAACCTTCCTTTGATGAATGTCTGCTTTCGATGTCGTTTGAGGCGAATCATCACGTCGGGACCAAGACTGTTTGCACACCACATTGTTGTAAACAATCCATTTCTCATCACCAGTTATCAGTCGCTTCAAAAAAAGGATCGTTTTCCTCATGTTTATTGAGCATATTGCAGATGTTTATACATGCCGTCAAATGAACTTCATGCGGAACCCAAATACCAAGCTTGCTTATGTATCCCAGCTTCTTCAGGTGGTCATGAACGCTTGAATGAATGGTGTTCAATGTTTCTGCAATCTCTTGTGTTGTGTAACGTGGGTTTGACTCGATCAATGCCTTTATTTTGTTGTCATCAACCTTGGTGGGCCTCCCTGACTGAGGAGCATTGTTGAGATCAAAATCACCAGCACAGAATTTCGTGAACCGTTGTTGGCACTGACGTTCTTGTAGAGCCTTGTCACCGTAAACTTTATGCAACTTTTCACAAGCTTGATGCGTGTTCTTCCCTTTATGGAAGTAAAATAGTAACATATGGCAAAAATG